CTCAAATCCAAGACATAAATATACAAAAATTTAAAATATATACATACATAATTGTTTGGAGAGCCTTTGGGGCTCTTCAATTGTAGCCACCAAAAAAATAGGATTGTAAAGTAGCTAGCCCAATAGCTAGCCCATTGGAGCTCAAAATTAGACTTACATTGGCTAAAATGCCTAACAAGTCTTATTTAACTATGTCCTTGGAGATGCTCTAAAATATTTAACACATCCGCTCATCAAAACAGTATACATATGTGATAGGGAAGCAACACCCTTGTACCACACAATAATATCTCATTCTCTCTTTCCGCTTATCAAAAGGACAAACACATGTATATATATATATAGAAAACCAATTATCGACTTCACCAAGACCAAACTTTTCTAGAGCTCTCCATTTCTCCATCCTTCTATTCTATTATCTTCTTCTATAAAGTAATACGTATTCAATTCCAATTGCATCTTTTTATGTTATCCAAATATTTCACAACAAAAACCATAATAATTGGATTGCTTAGAGTTTATTGGCAGATTGAGTTATTTTTAACCAATTTAAGTTTGAGTTATTTTTATTCACACTCTTATGTAAAATAGCCATCTTTGTTTATTCAAAGGCAGATAACTGTATGTGACAACCAAGCTATTCAACTAAGGAAAATTGTTCACAAAAGCTTATTCAGAAAACTCCACAAAAGTAATGTAGTGATGATATTTTACAGTTAATAGCAATTTAATGGTTTATATATATATATATATATATTTAAATTAAAGGTTCTGTAGGATAGAAAATCGGGAAATATGAGCTCTGCTTCATGTTATCATATTCATATTTGCTTCGAAAAGCACATGTTAAATTAGCAACATCACAAAGATTTAAAAAAAAAAAAATTCACTGTTTTTGTGGTAACTTAAGTCAATTTTTTATTAAATTTGGTAACCGAAGTCAATTTTTGAGCAAATTCTTTCATTTAGGCTGTCATTTTAGGATTTCTTTTTTTTATTTTTTTTTAATAATCACTCTCTATGAGTTATCTTTTTATTTTTTAATGTGGTTTGTTTTGACAAATTTCTATTATTTTCTTGTATTCTAATTTGAGCTTAAATAAAAAAAAAAAATTGTAAAAAAAAGTTATTTAAGAGTCTATGTCAAGCTGTTTGGTATAATTTTTACGTGTAACTTATTATTAAAAACTAATTTAAATAAGCTAAAAAAAATTGATTTTCTGAAAATTGAGGGACGGACATTACTTTTTAACTAAGAATAAATTACACCAAATAGGCTGGTAATACTACTAAACCTTCCATATAGATGATTAAAGAATATTTTAAAGATGAACCACATCATTTTATTTTGTAAAAGTCATGTAATTTTTATGCTATGTATAACATTACTTTTTAACTAATAATTCATGCAAATTGTAAGAAGTGGTTGCACAACAGAATTCACCGGATTGGGATTTTATTTTTTATTTTTTTGCATCTGAGTGTTTTGTACATGATTTTGCTTTGTATCTGCCAACTTAATTGGTGCATTTTGTAACACTGGCTTATTGATGTAAAGTGTTGATTTTCTTTTCATCAATAATTTATTTTTTTTTTTCCTTTTAGCTTAAAATAATATATATGTGTGTGCAGCATTATTATGTGTCACATTAGTTATCGAACAATAAATGTGAATATAACTAAATATAAAATGAGATATACGTGTCTTACAAGAAGTGACACCACATAATGTAAAACTTACATGTAAAATGTACCATTCATGAGACATCTATCTCCCGCTCTATATTTGGCCTTTATAATCCCAACCTTGCTCGTTATAGAATGGTCATTCATTCTCAAACTCCACCTCCCTCACTTAATTCTCTTCCGTTGATTATTTATTTCAAGCGTTGTGAAACCCCATTAGCTCCTTCTGTAGTTGGGTTGGGTGTGAGTTCCTATATTTTTTAAGAGTCCAAATTGTTTCTAGTGGATTGGTTTATACTATTTGGACATGTCGGGTTTATAGATCTTATTGTAATAATTTGCATCTTTATTTTTTAGATTACAATTTGTAAATTATCTATGAAAAAATTTAAGTTGATCTAATAATCATAATTACATTAGTTTATCAAATTTGTCTTTTAAAAAATAAATGGTCTAGTTTTTAAATAATATTTGTAGTTTATTTTTTTACAAATAAATGTTATGAATACAATTATCGGATTGATTTGAATTTTTTCATAAATGGTCTATGTGTTGTAGTTTAAAAAAATCAATGATTCGAATGAGACTTTTAATAAGCTCTATGATCCGAACAACATAGTCAAGTTGAATAGAGAAAGTTGGATTAAAATTTATTTTTTTAATTCTTGCTTTGAATTTTGAATTGACTCATTAGTGAAGACTTGAATGGGGAAAAAAATCCACTCATTTAATGAAATGGTTGAAAGGTAAGTGATAACCAAGAAAATTGTAGTTTATGTTGTGCGAAAATACTACACATTGGTCAACCCATATCATTTTGTTTTCTTCATTCTATTCTCTGTCTCTCTTCTCTCTCTCCCCTGTTTCAAAGTTGCAATTGCTGATTTTAACAACGTTATTTTCAATACATCATTTCACCAATGGACAAATTATTATAGAAGTATGATCAATCTCATCATTACATTTGAGAGTTATATAATTATGTTAAAGTGGGCAGCTACATACATTTTAAACTGTAAACTTCCCCCTTCCATGTGGTAATGATTTTTACAGTATCCATAGGTTTCACTTAGGTCAAGTTTGGCAACTTTAGAAAAAATTAAAAAGTTAAAAAATTACACAAAAAATTAAAAAGTTATCACTATTTATTAAAAAAAAATATTAAAAAATTAATAAACAAATATTAATATAAATCAAAAAGTTGGCCGAAATGTGAACTAACGTGATGAGTTCAGCAATTCTTAATAGTAAAGTTGGCCAAATGATGGACTGACAGAGAAAAAAAAAATTATAGTAGAGTATTCACTAAATTCTAATAATAAAGTTGGGCCCATAGGGGCCTATCATGGGTCCCCGTTTTCATAATCTGAACCGTTGAATATGTAGAACTCATCTAATACTATATGCCTGTAAAAAATCACATCTATCAGATATCGCTAACTATATGATCAAATCAATTTTGTTACAGCTAATAGTTAACAGTTAACCAAAAAAAAAAAACACGATCAGATACCTATCGATATCCAATCAACGTGATTTTTTACAAACATATCGTACTCGACGAGTTCTACACATTGAACGATTCCAATTAGAAAAACAGAACCCGTGGTGGGCCCCCATGGGCCAAATAACACCATTCAATCAAAGCCCGAGAAGGAGACAATATTTCCTCATCTAATCACCCAGCCGACTCTTCTGTCCATCCGTACAGCCTCCTACCATATCTTCTCCTACACACTTATTTATATAAATTTTTAATACACATTTTTTGATAAAAAATCAAAAAGTTAACCTAAACATCCATATTTTTTTCTCAACTTTTTAGTCTAAAAAAACAAAAAATACACTTATTTAAGATACCGCAAACAACCTTTATTATGTGATGGATGAAAAAAAATATTTAATACGACACTTATACAACAACTTTATGTGATATCATTAGTTAGGCCTCGTTTGGAAACAGGCTAATTTAGTAACTATTTGGCTAAAAAGTTAGGTAAAAAAAATTTGTATGTTTGGGATGACTTTTTGGCTAATTACGAAACGATGTGCAAAAAGTAGAGAGAAAAGAGAATCTTTGACTTTTTAGTATGAGTTGTTGGCTTTTTGGTTAATTTAGTAACTTTTTAACTAATTGGTTAAAAAAGTAAATCCTCAAACGGGGTCTTAATAATAAATTATCATATAAATAATGATTAATCCCATCATATATATGTGATAGTTACCAAATTATTTTGAAATGCGTACTTACATTTGAATAACATATTTACTATTTACAGTTTTTCTTTCTTTTTTATTATTAATTGATGATATTATGTGCCAATAATAGTGTAATATCATAATTACACTGAATTTTTACTCGTGTTCACATGCCAATTTAATAATAGAACAAATATAATCGTTTTGTTTAAAATATATAGTAACATTATAATCGTCTTGTTTAAAATGTATAGTAACATAGACAAAATAATGTTGTAATCTCTCGATAATTTAAATGAAAAACCAATGTTCTATAAATTTGGATTCTCTGCAATAATTTTGTTATGATTTTTACCATACTAAGATATGTTAATGAAATACATATCCATAAAATTCAAGTAAAATATTATTAAAGTAATAACTTTTCCATTACATAGCCATTTCAAAATAATGATATTTTACTCCACATTTAAATTTGAACGATTGAATTATCATTAATTATAAAGGGGAAAAAATAAATAAAAAAGACCTAAGGTTGTGTTTGGTGGAGATTCCAAAACTCAATTCCAACTCTTGGTTTGAGTAAGGTTGTGTTTGGTGGAGATTCCAAAACTCAATTCCAACTCTTGGTTTGAGCGTGATGCTTGGTTAAAATTTTTAAAAATTGATTCTACACCTACTTTTAAAAACACATCTATCCGGTCATCCTCCCAGACGTCCAGTCGGTTGTTCGGCCAATTGACCAGCTGATTGACCGGAATAGTGTTTTTTTTTTTTTTTGCACACCTGTTATTTTTATATTTTAAATTTTTTTTATGAGTTTTGAATAGAATTTTAAATTATGTGTTTGATTACGAGTTGCAAATTTTTTAATCAAATATCATATGTCACATCAAAAATTTCAAACTCTTTTTAAAATTCTTTTCAAAACTTATAATTAAACAAATTTTTCATACTCAAATCATAATTCCAAAACTTACAAACTCAAAATACAACTTTATTCTTAAATTATAATTCTGAAACTCTACCAACTAATCAAATAATTTCTCATGAGGCATGACCCACACTAAGATTCTACATTATGGCTACATTTTTTCTCCGTTCTTATATCTTTCTCTTTGAAAAGGCCTCTCAAACCTCTCAAATCCTTGCACAACAAAACTAATCTCTCTCTCTCTCTCTCTCTCTCTGTGTGGTAATTTTCATTCTCTTAGATTGATGGATAATTCATCAGGTTCCAATGTGAACAAATCTGTTGTTTCAAAAGGCACAATAGAAGATGTTGATGAGGAGAGTGGTTGGACTTCTTACTTTGATGATTTCTTATCAAATCAAGAACAAGAACAAGAACAAGAAGAGCAAGAAGAAGAAGAGGAAGATGTACCTGAGGAGAGTGGTAGCCCTTCTTTGGTTTCTGATGCAGCTTCTTGTGCTGTTTGGAAGAAAATCAACAATAACAATCAACTCACGGCATGCCCTCCAATCAGTGGCTCAATTTCACCCACCACCATCATGCCTAAGAAATTAAGTTTCAAGAAAAAAAGAAGCAAAGATATTTCTCGTGATGATTCTTTGGAGGATACTGCTAGTTCTCCTGCTAACAGTCCTAAGGTCAGCCCAATCTAACTCGTTCTCTCTCTCTCTCTGCTGTCGACAGGAAAAAGTACGTCAAAACACCCAAAATAAATTTAGTTCACACACTTGTTCAGCATAATTTTTGGAGAAAATTTTTGTCAATAATGTGATGAGAATAAATTTTATTATGATATTATGTTTATTATTTCATGTATTACTATAATATTTTTATTATTTATATATGTCATAAATATAGCATGATTGACACATAAAATGATATGAAAATTTCATATGGTAAAATATAAATATAATTATCATGATATTGTTGAATTTTTGTGGGTGCATATAGCGGTGTGATTGCTTACTTTTCATATGGTCCTGCATTGAAATATGTTTGGAAATTAAATTATTATTTTTTTTTTTTTGGTAGGTTAGTAGCCTGGAACAGATGGACCTAAATCCAAGAAAGAGAGATGATAATACTAAAGTTCTGTGGTAAGTTCTTGTGGCGGTTGCCTTGTTGAGGACTCATTCTATTTATATATAGGAAAATGGGTGGGAGCATTAATTAGTGTCACCATTAATGATGTGGCAGTGAGTCTCACTCATTGTCATAATGTTGTTGCGTGTTTTTTTTTTTTTTTGAAAAAGTGAGTATCACATCATTAGTGGTTACTTTAGAGCACCACTTTTAGTGGTCTCTAGCATTGCCCGTTTAGTAAATTTATAATTTTACTCTAAAAAATATGACACATGTCACTAATTTACATATTTTTCATAAAAAATGATTATAATCAATTGAACCAAAATCATAAATTTATAATCAAAATCGAGTCAATTGAAATTATAGGGACTAAAATGACACAAGAACTAAACTATATGGACTACTATCGCAATTTGTCCTTTTTTGTTTTTGATTGGCGAAAGTCAATTATTAATTATTAGATTTACACCTATAAAAATTAATCTTCCTACCTTTTACAAAGCACCAAGTATTTGTTCTCTTAATTCACTCCCAATTAAACCCATAACCTCCCTTTAAAAAAGTAATGATGGCCAATTAAGCTTCATTCTATATATTTGTGAAGTATATATGTTGCTATTTATATGATGCTTAAAATATGTTTTATTTGAATTCTGAATACATATGCATGTAGGGGAAAGGAGGAGGAAGTGGCACTGATTTTCATTCAAAAATCAAGACAGATGAAAGAAATCAAATGAATATTGATTGGAAGATTAATAATGAATATACACAACTCAAGAAGAGAGGGCTATGCTTGGCTCCTTTATCCATGTTTGTCAACTATCTTGGTTAAATATCTGTGTGACAAGACTTGTCCAAAATGTACAGAGAAAATTCATGTCATTAAAACACAAAAAATATCTTTCTTTTCTTTTATTATTTGGCTCTTTATGTTTTGGCTATGAAGAAACTTACTTTCAACCAAAGCATCATCTATATTCTTGTTATGCAACAAGAAGTTAAAGTATAGAGAGCAAACGCATAGTTGTTAGTAACAAAACTTTATCATGATGATGGTGATAGAGAGATAAATGAAATATAAGATTATAGACAACATAGAGAGGAGGAGAGAATTGATGGATTAACTAAACTTATAGTCGGCTGTTGGTGGTCGAAGTCTTTCATGTTTGTTTAAGGGGCTTTCGCAAACAACATAAGAGACAAGTGTCTTTGGCACCACTTCATCTAATCACCAATAAAAGGGTGACAAGCCTTGGAGATTTCATCCATCTCTCATGGCTTCCACGTCAGTGTGAGTGTGCAACAATGGTATAGTGTCCATAGATCTGTAATTATTATAATTTTTTTCAAGTATATTGAGTCATGATAACAGAATTAAACACAATCTTGTCACAGAATTTCGTTTCACCACATGTGAGAAGAATTATGTTTAATTTTGTAATTGCCTAAGCCTCCGTTTGGGAAGTGGGTTGGTTTTTTGATTTTTTGACTTTTTGGCTATTTTAGCCTGGGGCTAAAAAGCCTAGTTTGGGAAGGAGTTTTTGACTTTTTAGTTTTTTTGACTTTTTTTGTGAGAGAGGAGTGTAATGATTATGTGTTGGATTTGATGTTTTGTTTTTTGTGGCTAAAATATACTATTTTGTTTTTTGTGACTATTTTAGCCCCTAACCCACCAAAACCAACTTCCCAAACTATGCCTAAATGAATCAACTTTTGCACTAAAGATTTGACTATTTGAATTTTAAATATGCAACCACCACTACTAAATAAAGGGCCTTTTGAGTTATTTTTTTTGAATCGGTAAATTTTGTCATCGCAAAAGTCAACGTTTTTGTGACGGCACAGAGTTATCGACGCAAATATCAAACTTTAGCATTGGCACCGTTGGCCGACACAAAAAATTAATATTTTATAGCATTACTTGAGTCGGTTGAATTTATCGACGTAAAAGATAGACTTTTTGCGTCGACAAACCTGTGTCGACACAAAAAACTAGATCTTGTTGTGTCGGCAACTAATGTCGTGGCAACAAAAATATTTTTATACTCAAGATATATATGTATTTGATTATATTTAATAAATATTTTTGTTTATGCATATACTTTTATATTAATATTGAGTGTACATACTATAAATAATATATATCTCATTTAAAATTAGAAAGAGGTATTGTGGTGCAGTGGACTAAGTGTGGTACATTGAGTTCAAGTTATCCAGATGAAATGGGTTTGAATCTTGAGAGCCTCAAGGAGGAAATCACAGGTTAGATTTTTTAAAACATTTAACCACTTTTTTTGCGTCGGCAACGTACTGTCTCAAAAAATTAAAACTTTTTGCGCCGGCAACTTGCCGACTCAAAAACCTTTTGTGACCTCATCATTTTCGTCCCTCGAGTTGCTGTTGCAAAAAAAATTTTGCATCGACAAATATGCTATTTACGATGGCACGCTGCCCACTCAAAAACTCTCTTTTTGGTAGTGCATAATGGGTTTCTTGAGTGCTTAAAACATAATAAAAAACAACTAAAACGATTATAAGTAATGTTAACGATCATGAAAAAAATATCATGAAGATGATCATGAAAAATTCTCTACTTTTGGATTACTCATACAATAAAACATCACACACAAATCAAGAGATGAAAAATCTTCATAATGAATTTTACAATATATTTTTTATGATTCCTAGCATTATTGTTATAATTATTACGTGAGCATTGTTATTTAAGTTCAAATTGTAGACTTAATTTTTAAATTTAATGATAGACGATCAATTAGAATATTTCAGATAATTTTTTCTTTTATATATTTTTTAATTATTAGTCAATCAACTCTTTCACACATTAATGATCTAAAAAATAAGTCTAAAATGTAAATTTATATATTATTTTTCTTATATATATATATATGGTTAAACCCACAAGTTAACACATTGGGATAACCAAAGCGATGCATCAATTATTGAAATTCACGTAATTTTCACTAGAGCTGGATCTCATCATACTGATTTGGATATTTTTAGGTTATGTTTGGCATGGGGTTTTGAGATTATTTTAGTCACAAAATGATAAAATAAGTTAAAATATTAAGAAAATAAAATATCACATTCAAATCATAATCATTTTATTTTTTCTATCACAAAATTTAAAAAAGTCAAAAAATTTATCCTAAACAAGACTTTTTAACTCCAGATTAAAATAGTCAAAAAGTCAACACACATCCCAGATAAAAGCTTAATATATTGCTATTGTTTAATTCTATATATGTAAGTTTATTCAAAAGAATATAAACATAACATTATTTGACTATCCTCTATAAAAAAATATATATATAAAAAATAAAATAAAAAAGAATATATAAATAATAAAGAGGGAGAGATAGAGGAAGAATGAGATAGATTTCTGCAAGTAGCATTCCTCCCAAAGATAGTGATTTCAAGCATTACCATTAGACAGAACAACACATAATGATACTTATATCACCTTAGTCACCTTTTTTTTTTCTTTTTTTCTTTTTTCCCTATCTCCAAATATATCACTGTCTGAGTTTTACTATTTTCAAACAAATCATGAAGGCTGTTTTGTACTAGAAAAAACAAAAAAAACAAAAACAAAAACAAAATAATTATTAAAAAAAAAAAAAGAAAAAGAAAAAAATAATAATTATTAAAAAAAAGAAAAAGAAAGAAGAAGCCTGTTTTGCATAAATCATAATTGCCTGTCTAACTAACTGGCATTAAAAGAAAAGGGCAGGTTCTTGTTTACATGTCATTTCAGAAACAGTTTGAAAGCAAGACGGTAGGCTACTGTTTTCCCGCTTTTTGCAATCGTAGCAAAAAAAAAAATTTATTTTGAGAATTGACTTTTTATTGATTTTTTTGGCTAATTAAAAAAAAAATTTACGTATAGATCTTAATAAATGAAAAATATTATAGACTTCAAATCAATTATTAAATTTTTTATCAACCTCGCACATAGTTGTGGGAACCACACAAATCACACGTTTGTGGATCCCACATCCATTTAAGAGATTTGGTAGAAAATCTAGTAATTTATTTAGAGTCCTAGCAAAACTCTTTAATAAATAGGTTTATTATTCAACAAATTCTATGATAATTAATATATTTCTCATCAAATATTATTAAAAAAACGTTACTAATTACAGTAACAGTTCAAAAATTTTGTCACAAAAAAAATGTTACTAATTATAAGTTTTAATTATAGTTTAAAAAAATTGTCACAAAATAATGTCGCTAATTTTTAACTTTCAGCAACAGTTTGAAAAATTCATCACAGAAAAATATCACTAATTGTAAATTTTAACGATAATTTATAAAAATTGTGACAAAAAAGTCACTAATTATCAATTTTTAACGATATACAAAAAATCGTCACAAAAAATATTTTTAACAACGATTTTATTAATACTTATTTTTAATAAGATTTAATGAGAATTAAGTTCAATTATTGGGATTTATTGATAGTTTAACTAAAATTTTGAACTGCCAAAATAGACTATCCTTCCAAGGTGTGGAAAATCAACAATGCTAGAAAAATTATTCAAAAAAATATATATTTATTAATCACAATTATTCTAGTGCGGCTCACGTTCAACATCCCACAAACTTTAAATTTATATCATATAACTTAATCCATGGTAAAATTCGAAATAAGTTTTTATGATTCATAATGTAATGGGGGACAATATTGACATTCTTAATGTGGTGAGGCGTAGTTTTTAGCTTTACATTTTTGTTTATGAGCAAAAGAAATTCATTAGTATTAGGAGTACAACTATACGAGATACATATTATCACAATTTATTGTCTGTTTTGATACAATATTAATTGTTAACTATCAGCTTATCTAAAAATTTAAACCGTTGTGTGACAGATAATTTTATTAATTATTTTATATTCTCAATAATCATGTACCTATGTACTTGATATTTAAAATCGTACTCTAAAGATCTAATGGTGTAAATATGTGTATTTTGATCAAAGAACATTAAATAGTACTATTTATCAAATGCAAATTATACGTGTTGGTCCTTCATAGAACTTTCTTATCAAACGTACCACAACAATGCTCAAAAAAATAATGCCACTGCATGCACATGTACTAGTTATTTATATATCGAAAATACATATATAGCGGCCATAAAGAGCCATATTATTACAAAACAGAATCCAAAAGGATGCTAAGAGCTTCCACAATAAATGCGTGAGTGAGTATGTTAATGTCAAGTATTAATTTTTGGCCAGTCAAAAATATTGATATGCGCTGTAATGGGTGTGTTAGTATTGTGTGTTAGTGTCCGCTATTAACTTGTATATTAACTGTGACTAACGTTTTAACTAACGAAGGAAGAGAGAAATGTGTGCATGGAAAAGTCCTCTCCGACGTCCCGCGAAAAGTCCACCCCGGACATTCAAACCTTCAAGAAAAGGAAAACAAAAAACAAAAAAAACAAAACAAAATTTTTTGGGTTTGACCAGTTGACCGGCTGGAGGTCTAGGAGGTCAATTGAATTTTTTTTTTTATTTGTTGGGATTTTTTTTTTGGTTTGAAATTTAATTTTAGACTTAAAATTTTTGATTAAATTAAATTATTTATTTATTTTATTTATTATATATATATATATATATATATTTTAATAAACCCTTTAACACATCTATTGTATCACTACTCACTCTCTAAAATTAATAAACTCTTAACACATATTTTTAGATCTCACTTTTATCACTTTTATCAAACTTTTAATCATTTCACTGTGAATGCTCTAAGTTCCTTGCACCCACAAAATAAACATTCAAAGTACAAATAATAAAAAGAAAACCAAAAAAAAAAAAAAAAACAGAAGTAGAATGATATATTTAAAAATTGATCCTGCTCTAACAGCTTGCAGACCATTTCATTAAAATATTCAGAAAGGAGCAGAAATGGAAGACCCCTCCATGTGCATAGACATCAAGGCAGGTAAACAAGACAGTTGTTTTAGGACATCCAGCAAATCTCCCACTATAAATTCCTCTGGTTGACTCTTCTTCTGTCACACCCTTCTAGATCATTCTCACATGTTATGAGAATGATTACATTAACAAGGGCATTGTAAGAAATTAAAAAA